AACCATGATAAAAATATAGTAAGGTAGAACCGCTGAGAGTCACTTTTAAAATTCTTGACGTTTCCAAACAATTTAATTTTTAAATTTACTCACAAACTCACACACACATTTTCATTTTCAATCTCAAGCAACAACAATTTCGAACAATTTCATTTTTTTATTTTCACATTTATATGATTTTAAAATGTTGGCAAACTTCAAAAAAAAATCATGGCCGACAAATTGAGAGAACGGTTATACTTTGCTATGTTTTTATCATGGAAAAAACGTTCAGAATTTTTCACAGTTGCTCTCCCAAAGAGAAAAATACAACAACAACCACATGGAAGAAAAGTTCTGAACTAAAATGATGCACACGCCTTAAACTTATAGCTGAAGCAAGGTGTGATTGACAACTCAGGTAGGCTCTCTTTTAATGTACTATTATGCCAAAAAATAGAAACAATCGTTTCAAAATTCATACAAAATTTTTTTAATTAGGATGATTCTTCTGAGAGCAAAGTCAAATTCAATCACACTTTGTTGAATACATTTAGAGCTGAAGGGAGTTCTGAAAACCTCAAAAGTGGTGAACGCCTAAAACGCCTTTTAGTAGTTGTACTCATGATAAAAAATGCTTTATGCGTTTATCATGGTTGTACTCAACATTTTCTAGACTAACCTAAATTAACTGTTCCGCAAATTTTCACGTTGTTGTTGTAACGGCATTCAGCTTCCCCAACGAGTTTTTGGGGAGTGTTGTTGGAGTGACAGTCCTTGGCTAGACATAAATCTGGGTCGTTACGGTCACGAAGACCCGACGTCGTGGAAACGCATATTTTCACATATTTTTCCTTTGATTTGAAATTTTTCATATTTCAAAAATAACCACGGCCGCGGCAATCGTACATGTCATGCTATAAATGTCGCCACGCATATTTTTGTGTTCGAGTCTCGAATCATCCCTGTCTTTTGCCGAAGTCTTGCTCAAAACGCAAATGAAAATTAAACGCCGATTTCACTTTGCATTCTTTCGCAAGTTTTGAAGCAGTGTAGTCGAGTTCGCGTTTGAGTTCGCAAATCAAATAGGAAGAAACGCTGGAGAAGTATAAAATATATTTGTCGCCCGCCCTACAGCATTCACTTAAGAAAAAAAATAACAATTTTACACGTTGCAGTTGTTAAATTTTAGTTCTTTCAGTGAGTTATAAGTAAAGTTATTTCAATGCAAAAGTAAATTGCATTAAATCTGCAATAGGAAAGATCGAAATTGCAACGACAGCACAAATATAACAAAAGAATTCTCAAATAAGTGAATAAGTCGCGAAATACAAAGGCAGAATCCGAAAGTCGCGAATGTTGTCAGTGTAGTTGTACCAAGATAGAAAACGTAAAATCGGAAGAACGTCGCCGTTGCCGTTGTTGTCGCAGTCGCAGTCGTCATTGTCGTCGAAGAAGTTGGAAGAAAGAAAATCAGTTTAGTGCTTGAAGAATCTCGTTGGGAATAAAGAATTTCGCATTGATACATAAAAATTCTTGAAAACGCATATTAAACACGCAAAATGTCGGTTTTAAACAAGTTTACGAAAACACTGTCTGCGGACGAAAAAGCGGAAATATTGGAGAAATTCACAGAAGTAAGTAAATGAAAAAAGATGAAGCACCCCCCACACGGCAGAACTAAAATGCTTGTTCAGGAAATGTGTGTGTGGGTTGACAGCAGAAGACGCTGACGTCGACGCCAGTGTTGGCTGTGTGTCGCCGGCAGCGCTTTAGCTGCAGTCACAATGCTACTGTTTGCAAAAGTATAATTGTAACTTTTTAATCAATTGCTTATTTTTGGGAGCCAAAAATATAAAAAAATTGTTTTGTTTGAAATCGCCAATTTGTACATATGTATATTGAAATACCCGATGAGTCATATTGCAGTTGTGGTTAAGGTGGTGGTGGTAAGCTGAGGGCGAGGTCGTCCAACCGGTGATGGGCATAGTGCTAAATTGCGCTGTCTTGCGCCGCGCAGCCGTGGCAGAATCCAAAGTGTTCTGCTTTGCAGACTTGTGCCGGCTTCAAACTCATTTATTAATGTCGCCCTTTAAAGGAGTGCCCAAATAAATTAAAATTTAAATTTTATGAAAATGATGCAAAAGCAAACTGAACTAAACAGCAAAACACATAGCTTTAAAAGTAGAAGCGTGCACCCCCAAGATTGCAAGTGGCCCTCAATTGGGGTGGATTTATTATATGACTTTGCTGATTGGGGATGGAGATCCCCATTTGTTAATAACCGAATCCGTTTTAATGCCAAAATTCATCCTGTGATATGGGTGGTGCTCACTCAACACAATTGGGGAAAAGAAAATGGAGTTTAGTTTTGAAATACACTTAGCTTTTACCAGAATTTTTTGGTCTTGAAACAGACAACGCCTTTCGCTGCGCTGATTTGACAACGCAAACCCCTACTTAGTGCCGCTCTTCTCCCAGTGCCTGCATGTTCCTTCGCTGCTTAATGAATGATCATTGCGGATATATGTACATGTGAACATGTATGGATGTATGTATGTTTGTACATGTATGTATCTATGTTTGTACATCTACATACCCTGTGGGGAAAATCTCTAGTTCTGAACTGGTGCACTTCTAGTACATTTAGACTCTGTACTGGTTCGCGCAAACAACTCGCGAATTTAACATGGCGATGTCCTAGGAAGTGTAAATTGCGCGCCGCTTGTTCTAAATTCGACAGATAAGATCTAGTTCGTTCCGCCTTCCTTATTCTACAGTTCCGAACCAGTTCTAAATTCGTCACCTTAGATATGGATTTCTAATAGAAAAAGTGAAATAAAATAGTTTTTTAAAAGTACCACATTCCGCTGATTTTAGCCTGGTGGGGAACTAGTTACTATCGGACTGGTTCGTTTTTGGCGATACAGATCTACTACGCAACTAGAAATTTGATTCACTAGTCCGCGGTTTCCCTGCAGGGTATGTGTATATATACATATATGATATTGCATGGTTTCTTTGTAAGTTGGGTGCAATGTGCGTCTTCTACCATCGTTGGAACGCATGTAAGCTGTCAAGTTCAATGGCGTACATGTAAGATAATCGTGAGTGTATACACTTCATTTATGGGTATTTTCGTAATACAACCAATAAACATATTTATGTATGTAGATATGTACGTTTGCTCCTACTATTTACTGTGCTCGAGGGGAGATAAGCAGCGCTCACTTCACCAGTGAAAGCTCCTTCCAATGCTCTGTGAAGTATGTATGTATGTAGGTACTAATTTTTGGGGAAATGATTGCGAAAAATATTGAATATTTCAATAAATTCTTTCCCCTTTATACATGCGTGTCCTAACAATCGAAGGATCCTTGGAAACCATATTTTTCAACTTAATTTTTTAGTAACAAAAACACTTGTGGCGATAATCGACCAAAGCAATTTTTTTTCAATTTTCTTTTCATTGCACAGCTGTAAACTTTATTGCGGCGCTAACGATGCATTTGAGTGTGGTACATATGACATATGTGCATTAAGGTGGTCTAAAAATTCATGTGAAGAGGTAAAGTCTGAATTTTAGTGCTCTCCCGCCCTAGGACTGTTCTATACCGAAATAAATTATATCTGTTTTTGTTTTTTTTTTTAATCAAAAAAATTATTTGAAAAGAAAAATATCGATTTTCAAGAATTCTATACCATTTCTATAAAAAGTTGTCTATCCCATATAAAATAAAAGGAAAAGTTTGAGTGCTTTGAGCGACCTTTAAATATTTGTTGATTTCAAAACAAAAATAAAACAAGTAAGAAAGTCTAAGTTCGGGCGGAGCCGAACATTAAATACCCGGCGCAATTATTAAATATATGTTTTCCACTTTCCGAAAGCTACCGCTACACGATAAGCCGGGGTGTATAAATTTTAAGTAAATTAGCGTCCTTAA